GAGAAATGGAGACACAGAATCCGAAGCAGGCTTCAGGCTCTGAGCGGTCAGCATAGAGCCTGACTCGGGGCTTGAACTTCACAAGCCACGTGAGAACATGACCTGAGCCCAAGTCGGACGCTTAACCAACTGAGCCACCCAGGCGCCCCTCATTTATCGGTAACTATAAAGAACACCTTACCAGGTCTGAACTTAAGAATACCTCCTCCTTTTTAATGACTGTGTGCTATTTTGTTGGAATTAATTAAGTCCTGTAGGATGAGCTGTGTGTTGTTAATGGCTCTCTTCCTGATGGATTCGGTTTTGCTGTCACAAGCAGTGCTCGAAGCAGTCATCTTGTTCATGTGCCTTGAAGTAATCCTCCTGGTTCTCTGTGTAGCCTAGATTTCTAGAAGTGGAATTAACTGGGTTAAAAAAAAATGTGTTGCTAATTTTAACAGACCCTGCGAAATTATTCTACAGAAAGGTTTTTTCCTACCCTATGTTCCTATTCTCAATTGGAGTCTCTTTTTCCTTACACTCTTAAGTACTCAATGGCATGGATCTTCCTAATTTTTGTTAATCAGCCGGTGAATAACCGCGTCTCATTATTGTTTTAATTTGCATTTCCCTGATTGTTAATGAGGTTAAGCATCTTTTCATATGTTTATTGGGTATTTACATTCTCTCTTCGGGGGCCAGTGCAAAGATGGGACTCTGACCTAACTGGCGGAGGAGTTGTAGCACTTAAAAAGATGAGGAATTAAAAAAGAAAAACACACAACAACAACAAAAAACCACACTGAAAAGGACGTCTTACATTTTTGTTGGAAGGGTAGTGTCTGTAGGTTTACACTGAATCGTGGTTTGGAAACGGAGTGTTCAGAAAAGAGACACAAGAAGTCTTTGTGCCTTTGTTTCCTCATCTTGATAGAGTTGCTGCTGTCTGTACTCTCTCGGCTTGTCATTAAGCGACCACTAATTAATGGTAGGATATCCCCTGCAAAAGCGTCAAGCCTTCCCACCGTTGCCACAGCTCATAACATTTGGGATTGGTCGTTATGTCCAGGAATCAAATACTAGGGCAATGGTGTAAGAAAACAAATATTAACAGCACTGCATGGGGCGATATTGATTGAGTACCAAGGTCTCCAAAGGGGCAGAAGCCCCTTGTTTGGTAACTGTGTTTCCCATTGTGAAAGCATTCGATAAGTGGTAACTTATTAATAATTGTAGTGCATCTTCAGGAAGTAAATATTCAGGGAGCACGCGCTCTTGAAGGAGGCTCTCCCGTGGAATGCCGTGGCCCCAACGAGACACTGGAGCTGCCCTAGGGTTACCAACGGCAGCGGTATGCTGAGCTGCGTATGCCAAGATTTAATGTCTTGGGCAGAAGCAGATGATGCCCTCCCCGTGCAGTTCACGTTCAGCCCCATTTGGACTGCGCCCTGTGCCAAATCTGGATCCAGGCGCGAGAAAGACATTGACAGTTTGGATGGGGTCCAGAGACAGGCACTAGTCGTGATTAAGGGCTTATGGGCATGACATTTGAGCGGGGGCTCAAAGAACTGAATATTTACAGCAGGGCTAAATGCTGGATTACGTGGCTTGGTGACGTTAGGGCCTCTGGCTTCATCCCTAAGTTACCCTCTGTGTGATTAGCTCTTTCAGAGTCCAGGAAAGTCCCGCTTCTGATAACCCCTGCATGCTTGGGGGGAGGGCGGGTCTCTGCATGGGCCCACCTGCCTCAAGTTGGATCAAGGAGTTTGTTAGCACCCAGCTCCAGGGTAGCACCCGGAGGGGGCGGGGAGATTTGGGTAGAGAAGTCTCACTGCCCTGGGACATTTAGCAACCGCCTCCGCTCCTTCACAACATTCCTTGTATAGGCTGTGCACCTAAGGTGCTTACCCCTCCTTAGCAGGACCCTGGCCTCTTGTTTGGCTCTCCTACAAGTGCGTGGCCCAGCCAGGAGCAGGAAGCGGGGCTTCTCCCAAGCAGAGTACAGATTTCTCTCCGTTGTGGGGTCTGATGCCCGCAGCGTCCTCTTACCGCCAGACTTTTCACCTGTGACAGCGAGAATGACGGTCCCCCCGCCAGCTCCACGACATTAAGACCGGGACAGTCTCGATGGTGATACAGGGGGGAGCTGGTGGGCTGCCGCGGCTGGAGCAAAGGGACCGTCTGCCCAGAGCTCACTCTTCAGCCCTTGTGCTTGGTGAGGAGAGGAGTCCAGCCCTCACCCCCGTGATCCTGCATAAGACCGTCCGTGATGAGCAGTGGTCTCGTGTGTGACCTCTGCATCGGTGGCTGCTCTTGCGGTGCTGGCCTGCCTGCACAGAGCTGAACATCTGACATGACACGCCTCGAGTCGTAACAGGCTCTGATAACCCCTTACCTCTGTTGGCGCCGCTTTTCAAAGCGGACAGCTGCTCTGCCCTCCCGTTTTTGTAATGGAGCATTCATGAGATGATCTTTATTCTCTAGTTCCTTGACTCACTCATGTGCTTGCAGAGGCTCGGCTGGTATTAGCAGTTTTTATGTGATTAAGGCAGAAAACACTTGCAGCGCTCAGGGAATCATGCAGAAGGTCAGTTGGAATTCCTGAAATCATAGTTAAGACCACGAGGGCCCTGGCTTTTTTTTTTTTTTTTTTTTTTTTTTTTT